ATTCGCGTCCCCAATTTAATATATACCCAAATTAGTTTGAGGGCCTAGCAAATTTACAATGTTTTCTTCATATCGAAGGTATGGCCATAAAAATTAAAATAATATTAAAATGTAGAATAAAATATATTTACAAAATATATTAAATCCCATTTTTGGTTATAAATTAATTTAACATTATTTTATTTCCTATACCTATTATTTTATATTAAATTAAAAAAATAATATCATATTTAGGCTAAAATAATCAAATCAAAATTTTTCAACAAAACACAAAATAATATAGTCACCTTAAAAATAAATTTAATTATTTTAATATAAAAATAAATTATAACAAAAAAAAATCAAAAATAAATTATCTATAAATTAAAAATAAACAAATAATTAATAATAATCAAAATATATTTAAACAAATATATAATTAAAATATATTAAAATATTTTTGTTATATATATAAATTTAATATTAATTATTTTTGTAATATTTTATATGTTTTTATATATTTTTATATTTAATATGTTTAGCCTTAAAAAAATAAATTAAAATAAAATAATAAATTTAATTTTTCGAATTTATTTAAATTTCCGTAAATATCCTAAAAAAATATATATTTATAAAAAAATAAATATAATATATATTTTTTTTATAAATATTTATTAATTTATATTTATTATATATCTAAAAGTATTTTTTCCAGCCATTCAGAAATACATCCCCCAAGATTTTAATATTCTTCGTCAATTTTCGTCAGATTTTTTTTGGTAACGTGTGCCAATTTATGTATATTCTAGTTGTTCCATACCGTTCCAATAAGGTCAAAGAGCTTTACAAAAATTTATACAAAAAACACGTATGTTATTGTAGATTACAAATACACAAAGGAAACCCGATCATTCTTATTTGTACCTTGTTCTCTAAATTATGCAGTATGCCAAATACAAAGCCACGCGCTTAATATACGCCAGAAATTTTCACTCCAAATGTAAAAAAAGAACAACATGTGTTTTTCCTCAAGGACCTCGAAATAATACCATGTAAATTCCCTACAAAATGCATTTGTTGTTTTTCAAAACCATGGTTTGGACCCTGTTCATTTGCTACAAAATGCCCGTTTGATTTTGATAAGCCCTTATGAAGCTCATCATGTCGTGCGACAAAATGCCACTGCGTTTTTGTAATGGCCTAACATGATTAACATGTATCCTTTTTAACATAAGATTCACAAGTTTAAGCTACAAAATCTTGGGCATAGATTTTATGTCACCGTTAGCCTGACTAAAACGGAGGGCTCTAAGAGGCGCACGGCCTCCCATCTTGTAGCTTAAACTCGAAGGGGGATTTGTATACCAAAAAATATTCCAATTATATAATCAATATTTGCATTTGGTTTCTTAGAATTTCTTGGTTATAGAAACTATTTCAATGGATTGTAAAAATTGTGATTTTCGCCTCTGGATCTTGTTCGTCTTGGCTTCGAGTTTGATCTTAATCAGCTTTCCTTCGAAAAGAACAACCTTCCTCAGTAACAGCGCCAGATGTAATCAAAATGGATTCCATCGGAGTATCCCACCAGTATATCTTGGCCTTCACACGTCACCCTCAAATGGGATCATATTGAAAACATTTGAAAACAATGGGATGATTCTTCTCTGATGCAGTTTAATAGATTGCTGCGTAATTGCAGCGGGTAGGGGTGTTTCTATGCACTATCTGAAGCAGCCAACGCGGCATGGCAGGTTCGCCTTTTTCAAGGGTTGAAGAAATTTTGCTGAAGGCACCAAGAAGGCGAGTTTGGTTCACCGGTGCCTTCATCCCAACCTATCTGGAATCCCTGGATGTAAGCATTGACAGCGGGGGCTGATGAATCTATGGTTGAACTAAGCGGCTGAGTCCTATAGTATCACCGGCAAAAACTGGGCCTATATCTCCAAATCTCCACACTCAAGCAGTCTCAGAAAGCCAAGGCCTACAACACTACTTAGTGTGTAGTGGCATATAGTGGCGAACACCATTCCGATAAGAGCCAACCACAAATATGACCCCCTACCCAAGCAAAAAAATGTCATTTCCATTTGTTGAATCATGCCTCAAGTCAGTCAGTCGCATGGTCCATTTCCATTTTTGGTTGATTTTCACAGCCGACTGAAAACATGCAACTGCAAATCATCATCCCACATTATCACAAGGATATAGCTCGAACAACCAAAACACTTAAACCACCGAGCAAATGCGAATTCCACTTGGGTGTGTCTGAAAATTGGGGCAATTGCCTGCACAACTGCCATGTTTGACAATCTGGATGGAAAAAATGATGATGAACCATTCTGAGTGAAATGTATCACCTCTATTTTTGAAGAATGTGCTCATCATCTCCCATTCTATCCCATGAAATATCCCACTATAATATCTCATTCTATCCCATAAAAATCCCACTATATCCCATTCATGGTTAATCCCAGTATATCCCATGAAATCCCACTATTTATCCCCATTGATTTCCCCATATCAGGGTCGCATGCCACGTCTCTGTGAGCCTTGCGAGGCCACCAGTGGGTTGGCAAAGCCTCTGAAACAAGCGACCGTGGCGAAGTCGACTGGGATTTTTTGAATTAACGTTTTTTTTGTTTGGGAAATGATAATCAAAAAATAAATATATATTATGTAGATATACAGATATAGACTAGATACAGATATAGACATAGATATCGATATAGATCTCTATAGGTATAGATATGTCGACAGATATATAGCCGTAGATGTAGATTATGAAATTGAAATATAGATATATAGATACAGTAATTACAGGGGAACATAGTCAGAGGTATATTATATTATATTATATTATATTAATTATCAACAAACATTGCGGATTTTAGCTGCAACTATACCAGCTGCATGGGGGTTTGGAGCAACAAAAATTGGCATGGACCATTTTTTTCCTGGGCTCTGGGATGCGTGGATTTTAACTGGTGATTTTCAAGGTGAATGGGGTTTGGGCCAACCTGATTCATGTAGGAAGGCACCATGTCCGTCTTATGATCGATGATTCCCGCATATTCCCGCCCATTGTCCTCTCATATATCCACTGGATTTCCAATTGCCACGTGCAACCCCTTCTATTTTGATGACATTTCAAACTTCATCAACTTATGTTGTATAGCGATGCGTTATCATCATAATCATGGTGGAAGCTGAATGCAAACAGTGCAATGATCATGGAATCTCCAAACTTTGGGCGTTGCTCTTTTTCGCCTAATACAACTGACAACTGAATTCAGGATCAACAAATTGTGCCACTCCATCTCAACATCGGCCTGAGATCTGCCACCGATTTTCCGTGTAAACCACTTTTCCCACAGATTCCGAGAGATTGTCCCATTTTCCCATAGATTTTCCCCACCGATTTTCCCATGTCCCACAGATTTCCGCAGCTACCAAGGGACATCTGGTTGCAATTCCCGCACAGCACCACCGTCTGCGCGTGGCTGAAAACCTCGGTCCGGGATGGTCAGGGTGCCATTGGAAATCAGTAAGAACCATTGTCAAGTATGATAAAAAATGATAAAGAATGATAAACTATTGGAATCAATCATATAACATAATAATAATAACAATAATAATATAACCACATAATCTATAACTGAGCTTGTCAAACCTATACAGCCTATACACACCAAATAAATCAGGTAGATGGGCGTGAAAGCCATTCTAAGTCCAGCTTTCCGTTGTTTTGGGCCCATCGGTGTATGGTCCAACACCAAAAAAGGGACAGATCCAAGGATTAGGCAGTGGTGATCTGCAGACAGCCAGGGCATTTCACATCCATGAAGAAGCTGTTCCTTGGAACTGCAGGCACTTAGAACAAAAAACTGTAGGGAATCAAGTTGCATTTGTGCCAGCTTCAGTATAGATCCAGGGAAATTGCTGCTGAGCAAGTCGCGCCAATGGTGAGATAGTGGACCAATATAATGATGCACAATAATGTGAGGATGAGGATGAGGATGAGGTTGAGGATGAGGAGGAGGAGGATGATGATGATGATCATCATCATCATCATGATAATGATCATGATCAATTTTGGCACAATTCCTGTGTTTCAAGCTCCAAGTCGCGGCGACTGGATCATTCGCTTGAGTTTGTGTCTGCGCTTCTCCTTGGAAAGGGGCAAGATCTTCACAGTGCCAAGGGACCAAGGACCCAGAAACCACCGGAATTCTGGTGGTTTGACCCCTTCCCCAAAGGAACTGCATCTCCTCCGCGGCATCGGGGTTCAACAGGTCAATATCCATGGTCCCCTTGAGATTACCTGTCAGATCCCAGATGATGTCAGATGGACATCAGCATCGCCGTGAGATTGTTTGGGCTGTTTAAGCATACCCTGCCTCAGACTTTCCAAAGGCTTCCACCGCTAAGAACCAAAACACATGGTGAAATGGAGAGGATGGGCTCAGTAGGACAGATGGGAGCACTCTCATATTCCAGCACACATCTGCTACCATCAAATTGCTTTCATTCTTCTGACTTGAATGATGACCTGCTTGTTCCCAACAATTCCTGACACGATGACTCTGAACCAATTCACTCCGCTCTCCATGCAAAGCCGCTCAAAGGTTTTTTCCTCCGCACTTTCTTGTTAGGAACTGGAAAATGCCTTGAACGATTCATTCAGAGCCTTGGACAGGTCGGAGTGCAAAGCAAAGGGAACGAAGGGAACCAACAGGTCAATCACTGCTTTCTCTTATGAAATTCAAACACTTCAACAGTCTCTTCCTGAATCTAGACCAATCACCTGTCCCCCCTTTGGCAAATCCTAGGCCAAATCCAGCCGCATCCACAAGATTGGCAGGGTGAGGCTTCTCCCATCTTTGAACATGCTGATATGTGAGTCTATCTGATGAGAAGTACGACATAGGCAGGAATGACCTCCACAGAATCACTGGGCTCCGCAACATTGAAGATTCGATCTGCGCGAACTTGTTGCTCTGAGCTTGCCTTAGTGCCGACATGTGCCGACTCAGTCTTCCGACTTTAGGAAACTCTGGATTCTGCAGAATCTCAGAAACATTTTGTTGTCTTGACATGTCTTGACTATACTATATGCTGTTTTGCTAGCATGAAAGGTACCTACCTGTACTTCGTGTCTGCAACGCTGAGACTCCAACGGACTGGTGTCGATCTGGGTGTGCCTTAGTCAATGCTTCAATGCGCTGACCATTTTTCTACTGGGAAGCATGAGGTGTAGTAAGGTGCAAACCAGAAGGATCGCTTTGCGATAGTTCTTCTTGATGCTGCTGTCAGCAACCAACCTTGACAATTTGACATGGAATGAACCAGCTACAGAGTAGATTTTGGATGATGCTAAATTAACACCGCCTTGGCACGGTAGGTTCTCACAAAGAAATTCGGCTCTTCACCGAGCCCGCTACAGTAGCAAGGCAACCGATCAAATAACTTGTACAAGTACTGTCGAAAAGGAAAAACATGCTCCAGGAAAATCCGCCGGCCTGCCGGCGTGTCTTGTGGATCCTGCTTGTTCATAGTTGTACTGTCTGTTTTGTCTTTGTCTTGTCTAGACTTTCCCCTTGGCGCGGATTTTTGCCTCGTCTAACTTGAACCCCCCCCCTCCTCCACCTAGCTCTTCTTCGTTTCGTCTTGATCTTTCCTTACGTGGTGGTGGGCTCAACTCTGCCCACGCCTCGCTCACCACCGGCTTGGTTTTGCACATCTTGCTGTCATTTCGATGGTTGTTTCCGTTTTTTGGTTGTGCTTGCCATCGGTTTGCTCCGTCGCTTCCTATATCCAATGCTTGATCCAGTGGCTTTTGCGCCGAACACCTTCTACACACATAACCTTTCTAAATATGGCATTTTCCAAAGCCGTTCTCAATATGGCCTTTTCCAAAACCCTGGTTTACACACATGCTTTGGTTTAAACTTAAGCCGTGGTTTGAACAAAGCCAATGTTTTTGCGTCCAAAGCATCTTTTACACAAAGAGCAGTTTTACACAAAAACTGTGTTATCCACAAACACAATGTTTTACACAAAAACCATGTTCTTGCTGGGCCTGTGCAAGGGCTGTTTGAAGCCTACAGGATAGCTCTTTCCATGGTGGCCGGCGGAACACGCCGAAGGCGGTTAAATAACTGTTCGAGAAGAAGCAAGAAGCCCACCATTCAGAGGCCTGCTATTGCAATGTCATGCAATGTCAGCATTTCCAACAGGCCGGGGTGGCTCTGACAAACTCAACTCCTTCCAACCTGCAAAGCCGACTGTGTTCATGCCTTTCCAAGACCGCTAGTGCGTTGTCCTTGCCATTTTCGACGAATAAAATATGATAAAATGAAAGTGCACTGAGGGGGCGCCCAAGCAGTTCGACTTTAACTGTATCTGTGGAACAACCTGTGAAGTGCCCTGATCAAAACCCTGATGCAGTTGTGTGCGGGTCAAGAACACCTATAGGATTTAAAAACCTGGCTCCCTACCAAGTAATCCAAGTACCCCAGCTGTACCCTCAAGTGGTATATGACCATGTTTATCCATGTTTCTTGTGTTCATCGCCATGTACTTGTGTTTAATCAGGTTAGATCCAGGTTAAATCCACATTTTTTGGTTCACATGTCAATGTGATCTTTCCCGTTGCCATAGATAGCCATGTCCCCATGGCACCTGCTCCCTGCCACATCACGCTGTGCATGGTGCTCAACAGCGTCCTGAAAACACTTGCTGAGGCAGGGGGTGGCCGAGGCGGAAAATGATGGAAATTCGTAGTTTCGTGGTTTGATAGGAAAATGGATTGAAAACTTGGATAGGCTTGGTGATTGTGGATGAAAACCCTACTTGATGATTGGAAGACGGAAACATGATGACAAAGCCCACTTCCCTTCCCTCTTAATCTCCCTTCCCTGGGGACTTGCTGGGCCTGATTTCCTTGTAGGACTGTCCGTCGGGGGTTTTGGCCTTGCTGGGACTGTCAAACTGTTTTGGGCCTCCTTTCTGAAGCACAAAAACATTGTCTGACACGTTCGGGTAAAACCCTCATGCTGCAGTAGCTTTCACTTTCAATCACTGGCCCCTCTTAGAGGTTGTGGATGTGTGACCATAGCCGGGTTCAGCAAGTTGGAGGATCTTGGCCTCGCACCCAGTCGTTTAGCTCTTTTGACAAGACATCATTCAGCTCCAGTTTTTCTTTCTTGGATCGTTCTTCTCCTTGGTGAATCGAGCACACAGTCATCAAGATCCGGGTAAAACAAGCTCAGTTAGACTTAGCAAGACTGAGAGATTGAGAAATCTGAGAACATAATGGCCCCAGTGAATCATGAAGTGTGAAATGAATCGAATAGGCTAGAGAGCCGAGCATCCTACCACTTCCTCAACTGAACTAGAACACAGACCAACCGATTGGAACGGATTTTTTACGGGCAATCCAAAATGAAATAGCGATTTTATGTTATTGCCCATCATTGCATTATTTTTGTTGTTTTTTGAGTCATCAGCAGCCCATTTGGAGCCAGTACCCCGATCTTTGCATCATGGCGGCTGGCTTTTTGCTCTTCGTGCCTGGATACCATTCCACGACGGGGAAGGTTTGACTGTACAGCATGTAGCAATGATATCATCTGCTGCATTCGTAGTGACGTTGACAACAACTCATTCCATCTAAAACAATACAGTACCACTTCAAAATGAAGATTGGATGTCTATGATGCATTTGTCCGCTATATTAAATTATACTACCCTCTGGTAAACTAACATAACTATGGAAAATCACCACTTTCAATGGGAAAAACCACTATTTCTATGGCAATTTTCAATAGCTTTTTGTATGTTTACCGGAGGGTCTGCATCGAAGTTGAGCGAAAACAGAGTTTTTGGCGACAGACCTTCACGACAGAAAGCCTAGGACCTGACACACAGACGGTCAGACGGTCATTGAGGCGAAATGCAGCAAGCTCTCCAGACATGAACTTGTTGACATGCAAATGTAATCATATAATATTATAGTGTATATATATATAATTATATGAAGCGCACAGGCTGTCTTGGAAAAAAAACTAAGAATCACTGCCGGCATGGTGGGCCGAAACCATCGCGGAACCATATATATATATACACAATATTGATCAATGCAGTATTGCACAACTTTTAATTGTTGTAGCAGCGAAAAATCTCAGCAAAGAAAATGCAGCCCACAGACTACGAAGCTGTGAGGGTGTCCATCTGCCCAGACAAGACTTCACCAAAAACGAGAGACGAGACAAAGAAACACTTCCAACAGGCAAATCAATTAGGGAACCTATACAAAAAGGGGAATCTATAGGGGAATCAAATAGGAAACTAAAAGGGAATACTATATATTGATATATGTATATTACAAGATACAAAATGACAATATTTGTGACAACTCATGCTTTTTAAGCAAAGTCAGCCTCTTGATCTTTTCCTCATACTCACGTCTTTCCCGTGCTTGTCTCTCTGCCACCTCGGCTCATGCAGCTAAAAAAAGAACCTCCTGACACCCATTGATACATGGCAGTCATGGTCCATGATCATTGCACCTAGATGTCTTCATTGGTAAACTAACAAAAAGCTATGGAAAATCACCATTTTCAATGGGAAAATCCACTATAAAATGATTGTCATTGACACGGCGAATTAAAATTGGGTCATTTGGGCACCCAAACCAATTGGGCTCGGTCCAAGGGCTTTGCCTGGCACAGTGACCAGTTGTATCTTGACATACTGAGGCACATGTGGATATGTATGGACATTATGTATATGTGCTGTCTACATCTATCTATAGCATTCTATAGTATGTACATGTATGTACAATGTACACGTCATAGGTCCCTTCGATACCGCTTCTAATCGGCTTTAAGGCACATTCACAAGAGGTTTTCAGCTAGAAGTACGACTCAACAAGTCACACGCCTTACAAATCAAGCAAGCACAAGGAGACAATGCAAATGGGGTTGTATCCAAATTGGGAACCCCCAAATCCAATGCCAAATTGCCACCAAGTACGGGTATCCCCCATTCTTTCAAACAGACCACACATAACATATCATGTATATATATATATATCATATATATATCATATATATATCATATATATATATATCATATAATATATATATATCATATAATATATATGTCAATATATGTATACATATATATATATATATTACTATAAACTAACATAATACATATAAAATCATATACATGGATACCGGTATGGCTATGGTCCAAATTTCATCCAACATCATCTCAATGCCCAGCCTTCGGCGGCGCAGGGGCTGCCTTGCCAGGTGCCGCTTTGCTGGACATGTCCAGCTCCATCAGATCCTAAGCCAAAAATGAAGGCTTTCAGGACGACAAATGATGGATGGATCAAACATCATCAAACAGATTCACATCTTTCATATCTTTTCCAATGTTTAAATAGATGTCATCCCGCTTTGGTGGTTTATTCATTGGATTCATTCATCATCGATCTCATTTTTCTTAGGTCCTTGGGATTTCATCTACTGACCAGCACCGATGATATCAATCCCCACTGAAGTCTCAGAGATTCAATTGCTGATCATTTTTTTGAAGAACATACAGCTCGGATTGATAGACGTTCAGGCCCCAAAAACACGGAACTTGGAATAAGCACTTTTTACCCTCTGGTAATTTAACATAGCTATTGAAAATGGTCATTTATAGTGGATTTACCCATTAATCATGGTGATTTTCTATAGCTATGTTAGTTTACCAGAGGGTAACTTTTAAATGGCTCTTCAGCCAGCTGGATTAATTAAACATATAAGATCTGTAAAATACATATACTCTCTGGTAATTTGTTACATAGCTATTGAAAATGGCCCATAGAAATAGTTGATTTACCGATTCAAAATGGTGATTTTCCAGTTCGCTATGTAAACGTTTACCAGAGGCTAAATTCCCATTAGATCCCAGTAAACCACCATAAAATCCCATTAAATCCGATTAAATCCCATTAAATCCCATCAAATCCCAGAAAACCACCATTAAATCCCATAAAAACTCATCAAACCACCATAAATTCGAATTAAACCCCATACTGTAAATTCCCATAAAATCCCATTAAACCACCATAAATTCCCTCCGTTGCCAAGGCGCCCCAGCGCTCCCGGCGCTGCGTGACGGTGCGGAGGCCGAAGCCCTGGCGCTCCGGGCGCTTGTGCCGGGCCGGGCCTTGGTCGTAAGCCCTGTAGGTTGTCATAAATCACTGAATACCATATATTATCATGTCATATCATATCAGAATACATTACATTACATTATATTACATTACATTATATTACATTATATTACATTATATTACATTATATTACATTATATTACATTATATTACATTTTATTATATTCATTTTATTATATGATCGTAAATGTGTGTAAATTGTACTAAACATCATTATGTTGTATTTGTGTAGTTGATATGCCTACCACACATTACGATATGCTATGTTTTTTTGACTTCATGCTATATGTATAACCTACATATTTAGTAATAATGCGGTTATATAATCAATTATATAATTAATATATATATATTATTGTGTATATATATCGATTGATATCCGGAGATTGATATGACTGTGTATTGCAAACCTATATAGGGGGTTGAACGTGCTCATGAAGCTTCCTGAATTTCCATAGATCTGACATGAATGATAGCGAATGCATAGCAGCTGTTTGGTGAATGTATAGCTCTCGATGTCATGGAAAAAACGTCAACGTTTCTTAATGAACTTGAAGCAGCAGAAAAATCTTCGAGCAGGTGGAGAAGGGAAACACACATACCGAAAGCATCCACAGCGTAGGCCGTAGGCCATTCAGGCCGCGACCGTGCCACAAATGTCGGGCAAACACAGGGCCTGGCTAAGATCTGTAGAGTCATCCCGAATCCATATCTGTTGCGATTCCCGAATTCACTGACATGACCTTTTCTTCCGGTTCAGGGTCTAGGAACCACGACAAACCAGTTGCACATCTCCTGAGACCCCAAGTTCCAAGTTCATTACTAACAAGGCTTCAACGACATAAAAACAACTCCTAGGATCTCCTAGGCAGAACTTCAAGGAACAAACTCAGCTTGCAAACTCCCAGACATTGCTTTCATTCTGCGGCAGACAATTCGCTTGGGAAGGCTTCGGTTGCTGGTGAACCAGCTGTGCAGCTGTACAAGTTTCAACCTGACCTTCCGGGGCCATCAGTATCCATCAGTCCAAAATGTTACCTTGAACATCTCCTGTCCTGATGCCAGAGAACTGGAATTGAGATTTGTACAGCGGATAACCCATTTGGGTGTGTCTGAAAATAGTGTACCCCTAAAGCCAATGGTTAATGATCATTATCCCTATTAAATGGCTATTTGTTTGGGAATATACCCTATTTTCAGACAAACCCATTTAACAATGGTTCATCTCCAGTTTTGATGCTTTGGCAGAGGATAGCTCGCGTGAGCTCCATCTCTTAGCCAGACATGGCGACAACCGGAAAGGCTGCACCAATGCGCTCCGCCAAGGCTGCTGCCTTGGGGAAATGCTGGGCGCGACGTCGCACCTTGGAAGAACGGAAGGAGACCTCAGAGGCCACGAATGAGCCCAAACTCTCGGTGTCATCTCCATCCACAGTATCCACAGTATCCACAATCTCATCTGTACCATCTGATGGTTGTGCCTCTGCATCCACTGGAGCCACTGGAACCGCAGCTTTTGCTGGCTTCTCTGGCTTTGCCTCTGACATCCTGGAAGGAATGGCCATCAATATCACACTGAGCAGCATGCATGCAGCACCCAGCAGCGTGAGAGCTTGGGGCATCTCTTTGAAGAACAACATCTGTGCCAAGTAGCCTGAAACCATGCATGCACTGGTAAAGACAGTGGCACTCACCGCAGCAGGACACCTTGTGGCCCCAGCCGCAGGCAAAGCAACAGCAGACATGGTCCAGATACTGATGACCAGCAGCAAACCCAAGGCAATGCCAGGTTCGGCGAGAACGGGCTCCCAGCTCTCCTTTTTACCCATGGGCAACATGGGGGGCACCAAGGCCATAGGCATAGCCAGCAGCAAGCTGGTGAAAGTCAAGACACCCACGGAGATGTGGACTGACTTTCTGGCGCAAACAAAAGATCCCGCCTGGAAGCAGCCCGAAAGCAAGGCCATCCAACATCCCAATGGGCTGTGATGTTGTCCCTCGGGACGGCCAAAGAGAAATTCCGGTTGACTAATGCAGATAGCTCCTGCCAGCGACAATCCCAGTGCCAGGAAGTGCATCACAGTCAGCTTTTCACCCAAGAAGATGAGTCCAAAAAAAGCTGCAGCGATGATGTCAATGCTGGTGAGCGCTGCGACATCACCAGGTGATGCACCGATGATCACAGCAATCACGGCAAAGTACCAGTGAAGATCCTCCAGCAGAGATCGAGCGATGACCCATTTCATATCGCCTCTACCTGGAAGGTCCATCTTGAAGAAGTACACTGCAAGGCCATTGAAAAATGATGCCACGATGCAGGCACCGCCTTGGTACCAGGCATTGGCTCCCAAGCGTCTAGTGTGGAGCGATAAAAGCCGGTTATTGCTTAGATGCTTGCACAACTACTGAACAAGTTGAAGAAACAGCTGGTGTGGAAGAAATCAGTGACGACAATTAATCCTACAATCTGGTTTGACTAGTTGGCACCAAATATTCAAGGAGCACAGCAACATGGAAAATTGCTACAGCTACCACCCATGGCAAAGAAACCATCAGAATCAAACAACTCATGACCCAAAAGCAACTCTGATCACCTCATCCAATACCGAACGGAAAAAACTAGAGCCACAAATCAGCAATGGACCAAACGGATCAATTGCCAGGCACTTGGCAACTTTTTCAATGGGAAAAAGATGGAAAAATAGACCAATCAGTTGCAGTTCACACACCAAGTACCAGTATGGCCACTTCGATTCTTCAATGAGTTTGCTGGTCACCATGTCGCCAGTGACGCAAATGCCGGTGGCGGCCAAAAGCAAAATGCCACAGAACTCTCCTGTGGCAAACAATGTGGATTCAAGGGAATCAAAATTGCAGAAAACCCATGTGTTGAAGATTTTTCCTTGAAAGAGATTCTAGGAAACAGTGATATTAGACAATATTAGTCCTTTCCCATCCTTTCCCCCCACATCTTGCAACCAAGTGTCTAGACAGCATGCTGAACAGCACTTAGATCGTGGCCGAACAGCAGTTGAGAGAGGCGATGATTAAGCTTGAACCGAACCAGCCAGAGATGACTGGGCAAAACTTGCCACGAAAACAGGACCTAAAAGAATAAAGAACTGAGTATCATAGAAGTATGTTCTGGAAATATTAGAGCATGTTCTGGAAATCACAGAAGTATGATGATGTCCTGATGGTGAACATCTACGGAGAAACTCACATATTTTCTTGACATTTCCGCTTCAACTAAATGCCTGAGATCTTCCACTAAGTCAAAAGCACCTTCACCACGATGCCACCATTGTAGACTGGGACGAAGTCTTGGTCTGAGGCCTGGTTTCAGGTTTTCATCAATGAGGGGTACCCCAATAGTTGGATTGTTTATCATGGAGAATCCTATGAAAAATAGATGGTGTACCAATAATAGGATGTTCCATTATAAACCATTCTAAACCATTATAAACCAGCTGTTTTGGTGCTACCCCATCTATAAATGGATGATTTGGGGATACCCCCATGACTTAGGAAACCTCCTGAAATGGATCCATCGGGATGGTGGCTTGATTCCTCCACAGAATGCTCCGGGGCCACGGGCCAAGTCAATCCAAACCCACCCTCCAAAAGAACCATCTGACGTCGGTGCCTTGCAGCCGGAAGGCGGAAGGTCGGTCCAAATGAACTGCCTTGGTGAAAGTCCTACCTTCGTTGAAGTGGGGAACTTGGTCATCTATCTTTCATTTCTTACACATGACCTCCAGATTATGGTCTACATCCATGATCGCCCATGGCCCAATATCTCACCTTGAATCTGAAGTGGTAGTGCCCTGGTGGTGGAAAGCTGGATCTCACCTCAGCTCCCGCTTCCCACGTCCCAGTCACCAAGCCCGGGCAGCTCAGAATTTTGATTTTGCACAGAGTGTGTCGCAAAATGGGTTAAATCATGTTATATCATGCTCTATCAAGTATATCCCAAATTGATGGCCCTCTGAATAGAGAAAATGATGATAAATCATTGTCAGACAAACTTAGTGCAGGCATTGTGCTGGGCCAAGGTGTCACTGTCGTGACATCTCAACTCTACGTGTAGCCTGTGAGAACACGTTCGCGACATCTGCAAATTCCAAGACTATCCAAGATTTGGCGTTGCTAGTAAAACCCCATTTTCCCACATGATTTATATCAAACATGACCATCACAAATGTGCTTAAAACAATAATATCAATAATAAACATCCCCAAAATCACCGTAAATGGATGGTATAAACCATTCCCAAATGGGTGGTTTATGTGTTAACTACATTACTTTACCAAATTTTCCAATGGCCAACGTTGTGAAGAAATTGTTCCACCCATCCCCAACAGCTCCTCAGCTCGTCACCATACCCACAGTGACGCTCACCGCACCGCCTGGATCGCTGCCACACAATGAACTATTCATGTTCCTGGGTCAAATGCATACGACCATTACTGAATTGCATTAATTAATAATGATGTTAGTGGTTGATGTTAATGAACCATGATGTGGTTAATCATAAAATAAGATACATATTACATCATATTACCATTCATTAACACTCATCGTCAATACTAAATCAGTAATTATGCTGTAAGATGGTATTGTTCTATATGATCATCTGAAAAAAGTACTGTATAACCTAATTTAGATTATATACCTAAAATTGGCTGAGTTGATGCTTGTAGTTGAACCTGAAACACATGTTTTGATATCTCCCAAATCAGATAGCTGTGTCCATCTCAATCCAAGGTGTCAATATCATTTATCTGTTTCTTTCCGAAATGGCTTTGGCGCATCCATTCTCTATGCCCCCCGCTGGATCCAGGAACTATGCAACATCTCAATTTCAGCTGCTTCGCTGGCTTTGAAAATCACACATTATCACACCATATCACACCACTTGAATCCACTTGATACCATTTTCTCAAGCGCTAACTCGGCCCTTGCAACGCACACGCCAGGCATACCCAAAGGCATGGAGTATAAGGCTATCTCTCTGTCTTTGTCCTCTCCATTCTGCACCTGGCAGCGCAGGTTCAATCACCGAACTTGGCGCCAGAATCGATTGAATGATCGACTTGAGGATTAATATGGAGGTAGTACAGAAACCCAATGATCAATAAATATCAATCACATGTAAGAAGGAATCCCGGTGAATTGTCACTTGTTGAATGAGTCTTTCTTGGAGCTTGATTTTTCTAAACTGCACTGCGACCGGTTGCTGAGTGGTCGCCCAAACTGGCAATGCAACCGGCTGTACACGGGGCACACATCAATATTCTGTCATGCAATAGATCTTAGTACATATTTATATAGACATAGATATATCAATACTCTGGTTTACATCAAAGATTTGAAAAACGGAACATACTGAGAACTTAATATCATAGTCGATTGAATACTACATTGGTTTATAGAACATTCTACTAGTATAATCTAGTATATATATATATGTATATATAAATATTATACAATAGAACATTCACATATACTACTCAGGGTTTTCCAGAGACGACAACTTCCTTGGCACCTCGTACTGGACCAGGATACTGTCGTCTGGACACCCCAAAGCACTGGCCACCTGCGCTTTCGCTCAACGGGGGGACCGGGGAGTGGACCAAAATGGCTGGTCAAAATTTTGCCATGTTTAGTAAAGCATCTATTTGGGGGGTTGATATGGGTTATGAATGGTTATGAATGGTTGTCATTATCATATATGATTCTATGATTTTTGTTTAAAGTAAACTGTCTAACTTGAGGGATTAGTCCTTTTGATCCAAGAAAATCATAAATCTATCTCATGAAATGCAGTCACCCCTTTTACGTCTAAATGCTTGGATGTGCTTCTGCTCTTATCCTTCTTTGTTCATCTCCGGGAAGAGTCACATACCGTGGTGGCACATCAATCACTTTTGTTGTCACATGGACAAGCATGTTGGGCCGTATTGCAACTCGCAACCGTTCCAGATTGGCTTTACGACTTCACAATTATATAGGATGATGTTGCTGCGACTGCTGCTTCTGATGATGATGGTGATGATTGCGGGGGTGGTGGTGGTGATGATGATGATGATGATGATGATGCTGGCGGTGATGGTGGTGAGGGCAATGCCATGTCAATTGTTCCTATGTCCTGTGGTATATAAATGTGGTCACCAAGAAGCATCATGTCATATCATGTCATCATGGTGATTGTGGCGGCAGTGGACACGGAGGATCAACACTGCTGGCAGCCTGAGGATCAAAGGGTATCTCGATGCTGGGCTCCTGGAAAAGACCGTGTCTCTTAGACACAAAGATACACAAAACTAATAGCAAAAATATGGAAAAATAGAAAAGAATACACTCAGCTTTTCGTCAGAGTTTCAGGAAAATATCACTTCCCCATTGATTCCCAGGTCACTGGATTCCGCCCCTTCTCCTGCAAAGTGACACCATCTGCCCCTTTGCCATCCTGTCACTGTGCGATTCGCAAAATGGGCTGGAGAGATCTTGTTCTTCCGAACAGCTCACCCCCGGTGTGTTAATCTTCCAAGACAACGTCCATGGTCACATGGTCCCTTTCAAGATGGCACAAGTCTGATCAGAATTTACCCAACCTGGTTATGACTCACAGTTTGCCATGGAAAGATCCACCATGCTGTTAATAGGTAAACCATCTATTTCGATTAGGGCCATCTATACCATGGCTATGTTAGTCATAACCAGAGGGTAAGTTATCCATTTCCATCCCATTCCTACCGAAACACCACAATTCCGCTGCGGGGAACGTTATCGGGTGCCTTGACTTTGTCGAGGTTGTCCAGTAGCTGGGTGGTGCGCTTCTTCAGCGTATCCAAACCTCGGGAGTGACAATGATTCACCGCATATAGGTCCGGAGGTTTTGAGCAGTGTGAAAAATCCATGGGATATGACAGGGGTTGGTAACTGTCCATTTTGGGAATATTGGACATCACCTTATAGTAGCCATTATAGACCATATACCTAATGGTTGGGTGATGTTCAATGGGGACATTTAATGACCCATGTATGATATGAATGGATATGATATCTACAATCAATGACTTGCTGGAACGCTTGGTTCAGCAATGTTCAGCAACTATAGTAACTACAGATAGTATGGAACCAAGCCAAAGTTGTTGATCATTTTGTCAGCACCGATCCCCACCAGTCGATCTGCCTCGTGCCTGCAGGACCTGTGCCATAGATGTCTGGGATGATCAATGCTGAGAGGCCTACTGGCTGCGAAGAGCGACATCGCAACTGCGCGCTGCTGGTGATTGAAAACGAATCTGATGATATCTGGGCTGAAAAGGCTGACCGCAATGGCCGATACAAAAAAGGATACTGCTCATGGAAACACAACGCGACTCAAGCAAACTATCATAGTTTGAACATGTTTGAACAAAAAGGAACATCTCCTGAGGAGCAAGTGACGGGTCATGTCGGTGCGGAACGACCATATTACAAATTCCGGTCACTATGAGCAATGAATCGCTGGCTGCTTAAGCCTAGATCAGAGCGGCATCAAGCAGTCTCATTCAGTTCGACTGATTCTTTGGGAGCAGGTCAGCGTAATCCATCTTAATAGCATATTCTGATGGTATGATCATGTCAATATAGAAATAATACGTATAGATCTGATATGTTTGGGGATGAGCGTACAATTTGCATACCAGCTAGCTTAGCATGAAAATGAGGGTACAGTACCACGGACTTCGTATATTCATTATATTATGACCCGTAGCCATTTCCAGCTTGTCAAGTGCACATCTTGCACTCTCTGCTTCAAACAGAGCAACACAGCTCCCATCTAAGCCTGCAGACTGCATGTGCTTCTGGAAGATGATCCATGCCATGTAAAGGAAAGGATACAAAGATTTCCCCCAGGAATGGTGTGCAAAGCTACTAGCGAAGGGTTTAAGTCACATCAGTTGGGCAGAAGTCACATCAACCCTATGCAACAGCGAGTTGGAAGAAAGTCACATCAACTGGGCAAAAGTCACATCAAAATATCAAAATCCCAATGGCACACCGGCTTTCAAGGAATGTTGTTATATCTCCAAAAATGAAGAAAACATTGCGCACACTGAGGTATTCACATATGTTTAAACATGTTTAAACTATGTTTTCAAAGGATATATTTAGAAATCACCATGGCACACGGCCTCCCAGATCTTTAACTTTGTTTCCTAACAAACATAGATTTCCATGTAATAGCTATGGGCAACATCATCATATCAACAACGTTAAAATCTGAAAACCCAGTGGCACACCGCTGTCAACATCCGCTTCCGCTTGAATGTTTCATAAGTTCTGCCTTCTCAATAACCCATCAAATAAAGAACTATCAAAATCTATACGAAACACTGCGCGCACGCAGGTGTGATACGACTTCAGGTCGATTGATACGACTTAAGCCTAGTGGTAGTATCCATCACCATCTGATAGAGTGCCCATTTTTTGGTTCGCTTGGTCTGCGTCCAGAAAAACCCGTGCAGCCTTCTGCGCAGCAGTGTTCCATCGACATCAGTCAACATATTCTGAATGTCAACACGAGACTTCATAAGAACAGCACCATGTGCTCCAGTTCTTCCTCTCTCTCTGCAACATATTAACAGTCATGACAAGACTCAGGACTGCAATGGAGGGTTCAATGTTCACTGATGGCGACGACCCCCTGTGAAACTTCTGGAAGGCACGAGCTGGCATACATATCACAACTACCAGAATCATATGTCATTCATCGCAGTTGGCATACGACGCTGGGACTTTAGGAATAACAAACATGGCTCGGTCAAGTTCGTCCAGGCAATTCAGTGACCCAATTGGGTGACCCCCCCGAACGAATCCTACATAGATATAATATGATATAATATAATTGCTTATTATAGATATCATGTGATGGCTTTCATTCGTAGACTTAGAGGAAATGCTGCTTGAAGCTAAGGTCCCTGACCTTGAGATATTCCCAGACAATGGCTGAAGAGTGGCAAGAAATGCCAGCTGTGCACGGCAAAAGGAAGCCTGTGGCCCTCTCGAAGCACGGCTGATGGAAGTCTTTGCAGATTGGGAATTACTGGGTTCGCTAAGAAGAGGCGCGGGACACCTAAACTGGGTTTGAGTGGTGTGTCAAGGGCAGCCAGTGGAAGCATCAGTTGATAAAAAAGAGAATTGAAACTCCTCAAGCGTCTAATCCTCAACTGCACACCCAGTTTTGTTGGCCTACAAACTGCCAGTCAGGCTATTTGTTGTTATTAAATCCACATCTGCAAAGACACAACCAAAGGCATCTCTTCCATGCTTGCGGGCCACGGTCTCATCGCGTCTCATCTCATAGCGTCTCGCCCCCGAAGCACCAAACGTGTCGTCAAAGGGGCCTAAAATCACCAGCTGGAGATGACCAAAGACGTTGCTCCAATCCCACCAGCTTTCGCAGCTTTAGGTCAAGTGAATCAACTTCTAAATGCACTTCAATCTTATCATAATATGCTGTAGCATGGGCACATCAACCCATCAAGAACCGATTTGAATTGAAGTATGGTGAAACACCAAACGTGTAGCTGGTAGTCTATCCAAGCTTGGAGCAACTACTGGTCATCACATCTTTCATCCCATCAATGATCTGCAAATGACGCAAAAGCCGCATCTTCAAAGGTCAAACTGGTCAGGTACAGTAGGTCAATTCATGTCAATTCAATAGTAATTCAATCACTTCAACATGCATTTCCCATAGTAACATGCAGTCATCTCATCATATCTCCTTCCCTGGAGATCTGTGAGTCCCGGTACCCCGGTACCTGCTTGACGCCATCGTCCATCACAAACCTCAGCTGCCATCTGCGATATTTGATCAAGCCACCTATGATTTGATCAGGGAAAACATGGACATTCTGGTGATGAATGGATGAATGGTAAGGGGCCTATTTTTGAAGCCAACACATGAAGAAAACATAAAAAGGATGCTGGTGTTGGTTTGCACCTTGATGGTGGCACCCAACTTTTGAAACATGGTCTTTGTGAACTTGAGTTGCTCTATAATATTATAAAGCACGTGACTGAATAAAATTCCACAGTAGAGTCTTCGAGTAGAGGGCACTGTGCGAGAGATGGCGTCTGACATGACAGTGACATCAGCTTACTATACCGCTACCCTTGCCTTGTCTGTTCTGCTCCAAAAAATTATGGGTCAGTACCAAAAAGACCATATTTGTACGAGCTGGGTGAAATCCAGGCAGACTGGTTTATCTCTGGAGCGAAGCTGAAACAACGGGAGACATATATTTTGGTGATGAGCATCCACATTTGGATTCTTATAGTTCACATTTTTGCTGAAAAAATCACCGAGAACCAGGGATTTTGACCCACCACCTGCCTCAGTCCGCACATGTTCTTGGGATCCGCGCCAGGGTACACGCTCAACATGGCTTTCTGCGGCTGATCATCCAGCTCTATCCTTCGCATCCACTGGTGCCTCAGATATCTGCGTTTTTCTTGAATACCCTCTGGTAAACTAACAGTTTGCTATTGAAAATGGAGATTTATAGTTTTACCCAGCGATAAAATGGTGATTTTCCATACTTATGTTAATTTACCAGAGGGTAGTCCATGATTGTCCATGGTCCAAGGGAAAAAATCGAAAAAAATGCTAGCCCTTACAGTTCGGACAGATCTCAACCAAGCACTAATTGTTAGTCCCAACATGTCCCAATCATTGGACCAGTTTATCAATGCTTGGCTTAAGGCAAAATACGCTTAAACATTACGCTTGAGTTGAAACCTTGATTTTTACAATCAAATTGCTTGGGGGGAACTGCAGATTTTCCCCACCAATTCTGGCAGCTTACCAGGCTTAACAAAACTATTGTTGTTTACCATACTCAAGGGAATTGGCAACTCAATAATCAATTCAATTTATCAAATCCATCCTTCTTCTCCTCATTGTCCCAATTTGTTGGCCCGCTAAGTCCACATATTTACTTTCCCACTTACCGCAATTCCACATGCTTGCGCCATGTATTCACCTTCATTTCATTTATTTCCCATGTTTTCTCATTTCTCCCAATGCTTTGCAGAATTCAGTCCAGACCACATTAATCAATTCCGCACTCAGATACTTCGCACATATTCACCACTTTATGATTTATAATTTATATATATATATAATGTATATAATATTGAATATTGATTCCATGTTGTTGTCTTTTCCTGCATAGGATCCCGATGTTTCTCCTATTGCCACATTATGTCTTGCGATGCCCTCTGTTGCCCCCTGTTTGCAAATTGTTTACTGCGTATTCCGTTCTGCAATCTACCAGCACGACACAGAAATTTAGAATCTAGGAGTAACTAAGATCTGTAATTCCAGACTCCTAGACCCTAACAACACCTGGTAATCCTACCCTAACAACTCATAAACGGAGGTTTCCTAAAATGGGGCTACCCCAAAATCATCATAAATCATCCATTTCAGATTGGGATTTTCATGGATTCTCCATTGGAAACCATCCAGCTATTGGGGTACCCCCCAGCCATGGCCATGTTGATGGCCGGCACTGAGCGCCCGGACGTGTCCTGCGCCTCGCCATTTTGAATGGCCCGAACCCTGTCATGGCTGGAACGCTTCCAGCTGACTGTTGGTGAAACAGAAACAGAAAATGCCCATCACAGAACTTCGCTTCGAAGATGACTAAATTGACTAATGATTGAAGTGCTATGCTTCAACCATCTTCAACCACTTCTTGTGTCAAGCAGTTGCGCTTGCTTCAACTATCTCAAACTGCAGTTGCGCAAAGGCAAGGTCCCGTCCAAGCCTATCGCGAAGCTGTCGGAGCACCTGGCCATGGGCCATGGGCCAAGGATCTCCAGTCCCTGTGAGATGTCAAATGGGTTCATTGGAAAACCAGCATTTTGGAAGGAAAAAATGAGGATGATGAGGATGATGAGGCTTAGGATGATGAGGGCTAGGATGATGAGGGTAAGGATGATAATGAATATCATCATAAGTTGGTTCTATACTCATCCCAAGCATATCCCGAAGGTATCCCCAGTTGATGATGAAACAGCGGTCCAGCGATCGGCCTTTGGTTCTCCAAAGCGCCATGTACGATCTCCACGGGTCAGGGACCTGCCCATGGGAGTCTGAGGCTCGCCCCGCATGCACCGTCCCATGAGATTGGATGTTATATAAAGGTACTGTGGATGGATGAAATCCGATAAACCACCTTGGATGGTTGAAACCCTATAGATAGTGGGATAAACCACCTATCAACTGGTGCAGGATTTCTTCCATCCACAGTATATCTATAAAACTGATCTTGTGAACATTGCGAGTATATTGGTATTTCAGCGTTCAACAAGAGTCATACAGCCTGAAAATCTTTGGAACCTTGGGTCAATATTTCTTTTGGCAGTGAACATGTTCATTGTCTTGACATTTTGCTTGTTTGAAATTGGAATGTGTTCATTCCACCTCTACCCACCTCTATCCACTTATCCTCAATGGATTGGTTTAGCGGAAAATCTGCCGGAAAACCATGGATTTTGCCATGAAAGATGGGGTTTCCTCTTTTCCCTTAAACTTCCTTAAACCAATCCATTGATGCCACCCTTTGGCCGACCCCAAAAAACCCTTCAAACGGCACCGTATGGGCGTGACGACCACAGCAGTGCCAACGGCACCCACCTCTTCAAAGCTGTCCACCTCGCTGGTCTTACAGGAAGCCACAGGAAACCACTGTTTTAGATCCTTCAATCAATGGATTGGTTTAAGGGAAAATTTACAGGTTTAAGCCCCATATTTAATGGAAAAATCTATGGTTTCCTGTAGATCATTGATTCAAACCATTGGGAAACCCTGTGAATTTTCCAGTAAACTTCATTAAGCCAAGTCTGGGATTATAGCTTATTGATGCTTATTGCGTTTCTAGTTTCCAATCTTGAGGCTACATCTTGAATATATTTAACATTATTTAACAAACATTAACAAACCATCTAATATTTTCGGACGGGGAAAATATGGGTAAGTAATTTTTGGCCATCGGCTATCGGAGGGGCCATTGCTATCGGTTGGCCAATCGCCTCGGCTTCGAAGTCAATGGGTCTTCGCCTCGCACATGTTTCACAGGCTGGGTTTGCAGATTTCAACTGGAGAAAAACATTCATTTGGCAACGGCGAAGAAACCATCTAACCCCAACTATGGATCCACTAATACCATCTAATAGCAAAATATGGTGGTCAAGTTGGAGGCGGCTTGCGTAAACCCAATTCGTGAGTCAAACACATCTGAAATCGGCAGTTTTTGAGCATGTCGATCTTCTCAGTTCAATGGAAACTCTTGAGAACATCTATAGATCTTCCATGACCTTCCAGCACGGTCCCTAATGAAATCTTTTTGAGACCTCGTTCACATGCGACCTACAAATACTGTAAAATCCCTGGATTTATCATTATAGTCCCTTTCAAAACAGACATCCATTGAGGCAATCCCTCATTTTGCTTCACTCATTTGCATTTTTTTACTACTGAAATTTCAATTTTTGATGCAAACATCATATATGAACCCACACACACACACACAAAATCCCCATTTTGGCTGGTTAAATCCCCATTTTTCATGCTTCAATCCCAATTTCTCATGGGCTTCGTTACGACCCCCGGCTGGGTGGACAGACTCCACGAGTAGCTGCAGGTCCGCGGCAAGCTTCTGCAAGACCTGCCAGGTCCGCCAGGTGTGGGGTTACAAATTTTATGGCAAGTTTGGTGAGAAAATGATGAACTGGATGTGGGTCAAAATGGAAGACCATTAATGGGACCACAGATGTGAATGTCTAGTTTAGTATTAACCATCCAATTATTGAGGTACCTAATTTTGACCCATACCCAACTAATGATGTTGGAAGATCTTACCTACTTGGATACCTTGGAAAATCCAAACTCAAAATTCCTCCGTCATCGTCAAAGCAAAACTTAAGTGTCAACTAGGATGAGCCATCGCCGATGCTGAATGAAGATGAACAATCTCGGCAGGTTGTCCAGGACCCATTCCACAATGGATGTTGGAACATTTGTGGAGTGGTACAGTGGTACAAAATGACCATGTCAATCCCGGATTGATAGACCCTCCTGGTAGATGAAAATTGTGTCTTCGTCTCCTAGTAACATCTAGTAACTAGTACAGCCTATAGGCCTATAGGGTGTTATTAATCGGAGGTTGACTTTATTGTACTTGAAAAAATGAAACACAACACGGTGGTGTGAACATTGAATGTTTTAGGACGTATCTAGACCAAATTATCAAGCCCTCAGCTACCGATGATATGTTCCAGCGCCTTATTGGTGTTGCTGTTGAGCACACTTCTTGGCGCATCAGGAGTCACATAGCGACCGTCCTGTGGACATCGGGGACATCGCTGGGACGCCTTTCTGCTTTCAATCCTAGTCACTACCCTCTGGTAATTTAACATAGCTATTGAAAATGGCCATTTATAGTAGAATTTCCCATTAAAAATGGTGATTTCCCATAGTTATGTTAGTTTACCAGAGGGTAGCCCAAACATCTTCCGGAAAACTCAAACAACCGGGAGATGTGTCATGATTGTCATGAGAATTTCAGGAATTGGTTCCACTTTGATTTTCAGAAACTCCTTTCATCAAGGCCGTCTTGTGGAAAATGATTCAAAGGCATACCCGACCATGTCGATGTTGAATCTGGCGATGGCAACTGACCGAACAAGGATGGGAGGTGCTCTCCTGCTCCATCTGATTCACGCATGGAATTGTCTGAAAAGGTTCCCCTAAATCCACTGATTCATGATCATGTTCCCTATTATTCCATATTCAAATTGCCGTTTTGTTTTTTTTTCCCGTCTTCGAGTCTTCGACTCTTCGAAATTGCTGGAATCTCAGCGATTCAGTCCTTGGTGATGGCGACAAAATTGGAGGTGTTCAATTCCTCCACGTATCGACGCTCTCGAGCGTCCAAATAAAGCGAAATCGGAAAGCCAAGCCTTGGCTAAGGCTCCACAAAATAGGGACGTGGAGCCAACAGCTGTTTGGTTAAGAACGGGATTGCCGTAATTGTTGGATGATGATAATCACCGATCAACCAAAAATAATGAATAGTGTTCTTATTATTGTTGAAGAGTATTATATATATATGTATACATATAGTATATTATTATATAGTATATTATTACATAGTATATTATATAGTATATTATATAGTATATTATATAGTATATTATATAGTATATTATATAGTATATTATATAGTATATTATATAGTATATTATATAGTATATTATATAGTATATTATATAGTATATTATATAGTATATTATATAGTATATTATAGTTTAATATCCTAGAATCATCTATAACATTCTATAACATTCTATAACCTAATATAACATAATATAACATAATATAATCAACCATAATATATATATAACCTATACTATACCCATCAACCAACAATGCAATCACTATGGCGCCTCTTGGCAGTATGCATGCTCTCCAGGTCTGCTGCGTAGTTGCCAGCGGCTTTACAGTCACCGCACCTGTGCATCGCGTCCTTTGAAGGGGACACAGGGACACGAACTTGAGACACCCAAACGACCCAAAGAACCAGACACCAACATAAATGCATAAATGGGGCACTTGGTTATGCGGTTATGCTTTCCTATTTTCCCTCCGAGCATCATCTAGTAATCTAGTATCATCCTTTCAACAATCCTACAAATTATAAAACTTATAAAACATCAAGTACATGTCACATGTCAAGTACTTGTCTGCAATTCCCATCTGTCGACCTGCTTGACATCACTCACAATCAAAATTGTGACCTCTTTTTGGCAGTTTGGGCGATCCCCAATAGCAAGAAATTCAAATCCCTTCATGCTATTTTCACTCATCAGCTCATCCTTGCAACACTCTCCGCAGCGCGTACCCAAGTGGTGCAGCTCTGTCATAAGCATCGTTCACCAAACCGTCGAGTGCCTAAACGTGCCGGCAAATCCAAAGTATCCAAAGTGAATCTCTATCCATTTCCCGAGGTCTTGTTGGGTCGGGGACCCCGTGGACGGAAAGTCTGAGGAAGCATGAGGAAACTACCAGATTACTAGTAGTAAAAACAAAAAACAACTCTACAAGAAACTTGACGGATAGTAAGCCAACCATCAAAGTTGCAACTGTCATCCAACTCTCTTTGGCACCTGCATGGCGCCATCCTCGCTTTGGTAGTAGCTGCCAACCTTAAACATCTAATGGTTGGATGGACTGATGGATGGATAAGCAAATGGCCAGTTTTGTCGTTTTTAACTTGAAGCAACATGCACCTTAAATGGTAGGTGAACATCACAGCTGAAACTCGTCTCTTCATTTTAAGGCATCTTCACTCAATGATCACCGACCTGCGCCTTGCATCCATACCCTTGAAGATGAACAAAACATAACAAACTCCTTGGAACTGGACTGCTGGAGTCAGTGTGGAAAAATGTAGAAAGGCTCTTTCTATCGTTTCATATCGTTTCGATGCTGAGTTGCAGCCAGTTGCAGACCTCTCTTCCTGAGAAGAGAACCTTCCTTCAGAAGACTGCATAAAGTTACTCGATGCACAATGTGCACACAGCATCACAATGCATCACGCTGTTTCACAGCGTCGTCAAACAAATTCTTCTCATGATGACTTCGTCATCAAGAGCTGCGATACCTCACCACCCTCGTCGGTGGGATCACCCTCATAGGTTCTCCGAGGGGCCGTACATAGTCACCGTAGATGCCACCCATCACCACGGGTGCTTCGACGACTGGCGCCACGGTTCTGGTGACTATGGGACTAGCCATGACAGGGGAGACCACAGTGGAAGGGAACACAGATTCGATTACTGGTACTGGTGGCGCCACAGTTACTGTCGTTGCTGGCACCGTTCCACTCGCTGGTTTTCCGGGTGAATCAGCCGTTGGAGCGTCAGGCGCTGGTTTCACCGTGGTGTGCGGGGTCACGGTGGTCACCGTGGTAGTCACAGGCGCAACGGTGGTCACAGGAGCAACGGTGGTCACAGGTGCGATGGTGGTGACAGGTGCTACGGTGGTGACAGGTATGGTAGTTGTCACAGGCATCACCGTCGTCACTGGGGTCTCTACCACTAAAGACCTTACCGGCACTGACCAACTTCTTCGCCACAGGTCTCTTTCAAAATACAAGTAGTCAGTCTGTCTCACCAAGTCGCGAATGCGTTGCCGCAACACTGAGGAATCACAGGAATCTGACACTGCATAGTGGTGAACGTCTTTGACCTTGGTGAAACTTTCCCGAAGCTTCTCCAATTCTTCTTTCAATTCCACCACTTCTCTATCCTTTTCTCGGACCTTTCTTTCTAACAGCTCAACGGAAACCTGTTGACTTTCATAGTAGCTTTTCTGGGAGGACATCTCAATGATGCGATGGTCTCTTCGCGACACTTCTTCTTTCAACCGACTCACTTCCAGGTCCTTCTCTCGAAGCTCAAATCGAACCTCTTCTCCTCCGATGATAGGGTGGGGTCTGCCATCCCAAGCCGAACAACACACGAACAATTCAATGTGGTTTAAGGATACTTGGGGCTTGAAGGTGAAGCCAATATATTTTTGTTTGAAACAGTTTCAACTGCTGAAAGAAACACTACTACTATTGGATACTATTAGGAAGGAATTGAGAAATCCCGGCCTGTCTTCAACGCAGTTTCCAACTTCTTGAGTGTAGTTTCCACTTCAACCTTGTAAGACTCCACTTGCTGCTTGTGACTTTCTTGAACTGTCCTCACAATCTCTTCCCGACTCTCAGACACCTCCTGCCGTGGGCTCAGACGCGGCGAGCTTGGCAAGACTACACACGGCGTGCACCGCTGGCGCTCGGCGTCCAGGGCGGACTTGACGGCGTAGTACGCTGCTTCCATTTCATGGTAACATCGATGCCAATAGTCCGCTTCATCACAAACATATTCCCGGCAGTAGTGATGCTTGGCACGCCGCACTGCAGAAACTGCTCGCATGGAGATGTCCAGGGCGACCCTGCCAAAGCAAAATCTGAGAGATATATAGCAAATATCTGTAATATTTGGGCCAAACTGCTGGCACCAAGGATGAAGTTCTCAACATGCTCTGCACTGTGAGCGTGAGTCTAGAGAAGGCTGAAGACATCCACATGAGTTTGTCAGAAGATAAGGTATCCCTCAATAAACTGATTAATTAATCATCATGTGTCCTATCAGAATGATTCATAAAAGGACATTTGAGGTATCCCCGATTGTTGGACAACCGCTGAAATCTCTACTCTGGTCCAACAACCTCACAAATTTCATCATCCACTCTGAAAGTGTTGGTTCAGTGGTTCAACCTGACAAATGGTCCTAGATTTCTTATTGTATCTTGTTGGCAATTTGTAGTCTGCTTAATGCTGGTGGTCCATCTTCACTGCAGTCGTCCCAGCAACAGGGTTCACGAAGACCACGAAGGTGTATTCGGTGGAAGGACCCAGGCCTAGCCTGGTGATGAAACACCGATCTGCTGGGGTTCTCCTGATACAATGATACCCTCTGGTAATTTAACATAGCTATTGAAAATGAACCATTTATAGTTGATTTACCTATTATGAATGGTGATTTTCCATAGCTATGTTAGTTTACCAGAGGGTAGATTTCGGGAACTATGGAAACTTATGGAAAATCCATGGACAATTCACTTGGAAGTGCCAGCCTTGGACCACTTCCAAATAAAAAGGGCCGCACGTAGAGGGCCCCATTTGTACCTCGCAAGTCGTGGCTTGATAAATTCTGCAGCTTCAAGGGTCAAACTTTTGTGGACGAACTTGAACTTCTGGTTGCCATTTGCAGTTTGTTCATGTTTGTTCCATATTTCTAAAGCTATTTCGTGTGGTTTATGTTCTTTACGTTGTTTATGTTCAACATCAGGATTTTGGAGAGAGCTGCTTTGAAATCTCTGGATGCCTGTGAGTTCATGCGGTAAACCCAATGCCATCATCAACGACTATATACCTTTTGGGTATATTTTAATAGCAACCAAAAAAAAGGTGACGACTTGGGGGTTGAGTTTACCATGGTTTACCACATGAAATATTTAAGGTACCTCAAAACAAGACAAAAATCATGGACTCTTTCTCCATCGCGGTTCACGGCTCACCATATGGAGGGATGAAGCTCATGTTGTCCTTGACCTTGGCAGAAGTGCACGAAAACACAAAACAAAACTCCGTGGATTTCGGATTTCTTACCTTTGTGTAATTTTGAAGTATTGAAACTATATATAACTATGTGTCATTGGAACATATCGGGACCTTTCTTAACGTACGAGCATTTATTTATACATATCTTTATACTGTGATATCTTTACTGAAGTATTGAAACTGAAACCCATGATTCCTGTGTGCCCCAAATCGTGGAGAGGTTGACATTTCTCTGGGGACGGTGGATCTTAAAGCCCTTCACAGGAGTACAACTTGGGAGCCTCTGGAAATGAAAAGAATTTGAATGATACTTTTACGGAGACCCGCTGGTAGCATGAGTAGTCTTCTTCAAAACCACTGCTGGGATTGATCTGGTCTTCATTTTTACTTTTGGATACTTGGACTTGTTTGGATAGATATAGATCATGAATTCGATCATGATAGATCGTGATAGATCATGATACAGCAATTGTTTGAAGCTAAGAGTATTTCATCAGCACATCCTGTGCTGAGAATCTGGCTGCTCGATTTATGGCCATTTCCCAAATGCTCACCGGCACCTGAGTAGGACCAGACGCACAACGCAAGGCAAAGCCACATTTTTGACAGACGTTTCTGAACAATATAATCAATATAAAGATGATCAATAAAGAATATTAAAGATATGATAAGATATGTCTATATAATTCATGCTAATTCCAACTGGAAATGGATGTCCTTCAACATCTCATAGTCACAGCCCCATCTTTCCTGGCGTCATGGGCGCCTCTGGCATGCGGAAGCGTCGACAGCCATGATTCAAACGCTGCCAGCTCCTGCAGACGGCACTTTGGCGGTACCGGTGATCTGTCGACATGGGGACATGGGACCCGGGATATGATGTAATGTATGGTAATTTAACATAGCTATTGAAAATGGCCATTTATAGTGGATTTTCCATCAAAAATGGTGATTTTCCATAGCTATGTTAAATTACCAGAGGGTAATGTATGGTAATTTGTGGTATAATTTAACTATGGTAATTTATGGCAATTATGCCATTAAAAAAAAAAACATGGTAATTTATGGTAACCAAAGTTTTAGTAAGGATATTTATGGAGATTTAACATGATTCAACATATTACACAATATTACAAAACTTACGAATATGAACTGAAACCTACTGATTCAAATCAAAGATGGGTTAGTTTAAGTCAATTTGAGTCTTCTACCAGCCGGCAACCTAAAAAAGGAAATTCACTCCTCCTTCATACTTCTGACCCAAATTTAGATGGCTGGGCTGAGGCAGGAACAGCTTGTCCGCAAAAACGCAAACATCACCCTTCTTTGTATGGAAACCTGCCGGCGCCGTTAGAAACACCAACGATATCTCAGGGCAAATCTGCAGCTGGATATGTTGACATCCGCTTCAGGAGTTGGTGAAATGACATGGAAATTCCAAGGGCGGTGATTGTTTTTCAACATGTTCAAACATGTTTTTTGCACATTCAAACTAGTTGCACCCCTATGATATCCTATGATATCCTATGATATCCTATGATATCCTATGATATCCTATGACTATGGAGTTGAGCAAACTAAACATCATCCCCTTACTGTCAAGCCGCCTTTGAAGCCTTCAAAAAGTGCTTGTCCATAATGGAAAACGTTGGCGAGAATGTGCACCGGCAAGTACCTTGGGATCTCTTGGAATGGGATGTTTGGGGCGGCCATCTGGTAGCAACCCTGCTGGTTGGGAAAATCATGATGAACCAATGAGTACCCTCTGGAAAACATACAAAAAACTATGGAAAATCACCATGTTCAATGGGAAAATCCACTATTTCTATGGCCATTTTCAATAGCTATTTTGACATAACCACAGGGTAAAAACGCTGCAATTCTGCCGAGCGGCGGGTCCTGAAACGTGTGGCCTGTATCCCACTGACCATTCTTCCAAGCCTGCCATGCCCCAAACTGGGCGGCATGAAATGCGCCACAGCAGGGCTCGCAATAGATGTCTGGTTTATGTTTCTATGTGGCAAAATCAACATATTGTTTCATTCGGTTGGTCCGAAGTAGACTTCGAACGCTGAAAAAGAAGCTGTAGAACTAGCTATAGGAGTGGGTGACACACAATCCGATCACCAAGCATTTCACTGAAATAATGCTTGCGATCCCTGTCATCTGTCAACATGCTGCCGGCCGTTGCCGTCAAAAACATGCCAAAGTTACAAAGCCTTGGTGCCGGAAAACGCTGCGTTTTGATTGGTTCAATGTGGATATCCCAAAACATTGGGGGCACCCACACCACTGTTGGTATTTCCCCTTCTACAAGACCATGAAATGGCGGATTTTTGGGTTCCCCAATGATTGGAAATTATTTCTGGTTGGACAATCCAAAGATGCACATGGTTTGTGTTTCATACTTAAGCACTACCAGCACTACCAGCGCACATACTTTCATACAAATTGCTATTTATATATATATATACATATATATATATATATTATATTGATATATATATATATTGATATATATATATATTGATCTGATATTTCATGCGAGATCTCGCATGGTGTGCTGAGTTGCCAGCGGACGTGGGACCTGGTTGGGATGTATTCAAAGCCCAGTGAGCGCCAATCCAATGGAGCCGAGCCTCAACTGGAAGTGACTGGGCTACGGAGGGATCAGTTAATGATAGCCCAATGGGATAACCATTGTGGGATTATAGTTGATAACTTTAATGGGTGGTTATGTCTACCATAACCATCAATAATGGGATTATGTCATAATAGTGGTTATACCTATAGATATCTGGTTCAGTTAATTAAGATCTGGTTATAATATGTTATAATACCAATAATAGTGGTTATATATGGTTCTATGATGGGATTATAACATATTGTATATATATATATGGTTGGTGGTTTCAGCCTACCCCTCTGAAAAATATGAGTTATTCAGTTGGGATGATTATTCCCAACTGAATGGACAAATAAAAAAAGTTCCAAACCACCAACCAGTGATTCATATGTATGAATTCAACACCTCGACATGTTGATCATTGTTGCAGCGGTTGGCATTGTCATGGCTAGAACATATAGAAGATTGAAAACCACATCCAACCACAACGATTTTCAGCCATTTGCGTGTCCCCTACTTGAACAACAAATGAATCGGGACCAAACTCGGTCACCCTTAAGAAGGGGTAGAAGGTGGTACACAAGGTGGCAAAAAACGGACGTGGAAAATCCATGAGTTCACATTGTGTTCACAAATCGAGTGGTGATATCAGTGATATCCAATAATATCCCAATAATATCCGATAATATCTCATAATATCCCAATCATATCCGATCATATCCCAACAATATCCCATAATATCCCATATTCTATAGGGATTTCCCAATAATATCACCACAACTTTCGCTTCCCCGTTCGGATTCACCGGACGTCTGCGGCCTACCGTCTCTGGAAGCGGCTGACCCCACATCTCCATGGGTCTGACATGGACGGTTGATGTCAGATGTCCATGTCCCAAATATCTTGGGGTTTCAATGGGGGATCCCCAATAGCTGGATGGTTATGGATGGTTTATATATTGATGTTTAATGATGTTTATATTGGACAATCCTCCAAAAATCGATGATTTACTGAATTTTATTGTAGCCCTATTTTAGGAAACCTATGGAAAGCTCCACATCATATCACAGAATCACCAAACAGCGTGCCAGACAGACGGGATCATGCGTGCAGCAACGGAGGAACTCCTTCTGCCAGATCCTCAGTCTGTCTGAGAATAGGAGGCACCCGGGTACCCCCTTTTTTTCCACTGGATGATCATCATTTTCCCTACAGAAAATGATCGAAAATATGGCTATTTTTATGAAGGACATCCCCCATTTTCAGAGAAACCGATGACAAAACCATCTCTTGAAAAGTTTGGAGTGATCCTAGTTCGTGGTTCTTGTCCATCCTCAAACAAGGTCATTCCTCACATTGGCATCATCATCAGCTCAGGTATGCCAGATGGAAATAATGTAATAAACCCAATGCCACAAACCTACCATTTGGCGATGGTTTTTTCATGACACCCATAAAAATCAATGGTGACTTGGATTGACTTGGGGACTTTTCTCTGGCTTTACGGCTTTACCACATTGCTCTTAAATACACCTTAAAAAATCCACCGCAGAAATCACGGCTGAGATTCCCACGAGTTGCCCGCCGCAAGGAAAACATGGCCATTGGCCACGGGGGGCCCGCAAGCATCATGGGACTTTGAAGTTGTTTTACTGCACTATTCTGATGGGTTTTTTGGAAACCTACAAGTAACATCAAGTAACAAGTATGTAATAGGATGTATGGGTTCATCATTATTCAATTTCACAATATTGTCATTGGAATATGTTGGAATCATTGTGTAAGATGTTGACTGCAGTTTCACCTCCCATGATAGAAGCAAATGTTGTTTTGAGTTTGCAACTTGAGGACACAACAAGCCATGCTTCCTAACATCAATGAAATGCAGTTTTGCACATTCCATCACATTCCTATTCACGTGAAGTCTGATCGTGTTGCAATACATCTCCAAAAGTGAGCACTTTAGTTTGTATTGAAAGCACATACGAGAACCACTTCTGTTCGATCTTTGTCTTTCCGTTCTTCTGCGCATCAACCTGCTCAAAGGTCTTGGATGCCCTAGTTCCCCATTCATAATTTTCCCAAACAGCTGGGGAATTTTGGTTCTTTTCTCTGGTACCACTTCAATAGCGACTTCACATTTTTTGTGGAGTAACTCCCCAAGCTAGTCAGTCAGGGTGTGTTTGTTAGTCAAGTGCTGTCACAATTAAATTTTGAGGAACCACTATAGAATTTAATTACCCAGGAGGCCTCATACGTCTGAAGAACCACTGCCCATCTCAACTTTGGCCACAACGCAAGTGCGCACAGCATTGTTGCTGACTGTACGGGGGCTGCTGCCCGACTCGATTTCGCCGACGTTTTGCCGACGTCCGACAGATACGGTTTGCCGACGTGTAAATCATCAAAATCGCCCAGTGCGCATGAGATAGTCTATTCCTGTGAAGAATCCGCAACCAACGACGGAATATCTCCCGATGGACTCCAGGGACCTGGAAGCTGCTTTGTAGAGAGCTCCTGCTGATGCTCCGGCCAATGCAGAGTTGAAGGTATCATCAGATCTCAAAGTGCTGATCAAGCCATTGAACATCACCTGGGATGCAAAGGATCCCTTGGCGAAACATGCGAAACGGAAACTCTAAGGAAACTCTGATCTTGTCGGATTCAACTGGATTTGATCTTTTAGGATTCAACAGTTCAACATGAAACCTGGCAACAAACATCAACAAATATCAACAGTCGACGTCGACCTTGTTCACCAAGGCGCGTAGTACATGGTGATAATGGCGGACTGATTGGCCAGCGCGGGTCCGTAGCGACTACAGGAATTGAGCACCGAGTTCAAGAAGAGCTTGGGCGTGGCACCGCCTTGTCTAATGCCCAGCAGGCCGCCATAGAAGCCACCGGTCAGCAGGCCGGCGCCGTAGGTCAAGCCAATGCTGTAAGTCATCTTCCTGGGTAAACGGGTCATGGTGCCATGGTGCCATGATGTGCCATGGTGCCATGGTCTGAGTTTTCTCTAAATGTCAAATGGTGCACTAATGGTGCCATGGTTTCCAAAGGTGAAACAGTGAAACACTATGGAATGTGTGGTGTGTCTTGTTTTGTCTGATCTTTCACAGCTTGGGCTAGGCTTTACTCCGAAACCATGAAACCATGTAAGATCGGAAGATCCCCAAAAGTTGGGAGGTGACTTTTGAACACCCCATGAATCCAGTTTGCCGTGTTCTCAAACTTTACCTGTATACACAATGTATACACCATGTCTACATACCATGTGCTCCCGCAGGTCAAGTATGGTCAATTATGGTCAAGTATCTCACCAAATTGTCGGCCATAGCCTTCCAGGAAAAGCTCGTCCTTTGGGACAGGTGTCGAGCTGGTTCTTCTTCCGGTGTCTACTAAGATTTCCGGGGCACGGACACCTCCGGTCGACAAATAGTCACTCATGATCGACCAATGATCACGGTTCACTGCACCAAATTTGGCGCAACGTGATAAGCTTGAACCAAGTCAAAGAAAGCAGGTCGTATCTCTGCAATTCATTTGAACAAGTCTCACAGTCGTGCCACCATCTGTAGGATGCTTGAACCACAACCAGCATTGCACTGTTCATGCCAATTTTTGCCATCTATTTGAATGCCAATAGCTAAGTGCACGACAAGTAGGTTTGACAGTTGCATTAAAACATAATATACATATAGTATATAGCTTAGATATAGAATGATATACATATAAATCATTCATACTGCTGAACTGACGGCCAACTGGCAAGCAACTGGCAGACAACCAGTTTTCCCCGTGTTTTATCTTCAAAGTGCATGTCTGGAGTCTGTAGCCTGAACTTTGCAGGCCTATTTTTCATCGCGAACTTGGGTTCTGCACCTCTTACTTAAAGTCGTCTTGGAATCACTAAATCCACTACGCAATGTAGTATATTGTATATATATATATTACTATATTGCATATGTATAGATAGATATATATATATATATGACTATATTGTATTTAAGATCATTGTATACAGATTCCATAAACACTGTGCAATGTGCCTGTTCGAGGGATGTCATTGACAGGTATTCTGGCGACACTGCTGCCCAGGACGACCTTAACCTGGCGCTCTCAGAAGCCACGTTCGCTCACTGGGTCCTTGTAGTGCACCTTGAAGGCGCTGATAACATGATTCGCGCTGGAGAAAATCTCTATCATGCATGTAGATGTGTATATAAATACATATAATTTAGTATATTAGTTATTTCTATTTTCTTCGAAGGAAGTTTAGAAGTCAAACTTCCGACAATATGGACAAATGAAAAACAGATGGGAAGAGTCAGAGAAGAGAAGAGAAGAGAAGAGAAGAGAAGAAAAGAGAAGAGAAGAGCAGAGAAGAGAAGAAAAAAGATCAAAAAGGGAAAGTCTCAGAAGGAAGAAGATCCAGGCACGCGAAAAGGTAGGAAAGTATCGAAACACTGTGTTTTTCCAATGACTTGTGGTTCCGGAGGGTCGAAAAGTAGGCTCGCTAAAGCGGCGGGTGCGGAGCCAGCTGATGAGAGATGAAAAATTGCACGCCGTTGTGGCGCGGAGCACATTTCGAAGTCAAAATGTACAAAACACACCATGTTCGGACCACTTCAGGAAGTTGTGACGTCGAAAAAGTGCACGCCGTTGTGGCGCGAAGCACATTTCGAAGTCAAAATGTTCAAAACACCACATGTTTGGACCACTTTTGGAGGTTCAGATGTCGTTTCGCGTGGCAGGCGCAAGGGATTGTGCACCTTGTCAAATTTTGGAGCATCAGATCTTCAGTTTCGGGAAGATGATTTTGCGTGACAGGTGCAGCACTTCCTATGACCTGGCCTCACTTTTTCGTGGCAGGCGCAATACTTTAGACAGGTGAAGTGGAAAAATTGCAAAACGCATTGGTACGAGGCCGCCAGCTCTGCACTCAACTTTCCATTTTTGAAGGAAGTCTCGCAGAATTGCTTCGTTTTTGATGTTGTCAACTTCGAAAAATGAGGAAGTCTCGCAGAATTGTTTCGTTTTTGATATTGCTGCGTTTTCAAAGCTTACAATTAGACAGACAGACAGACAGGCAGACAAACAGAAAGAAAGAAAGAAAGATAGATAGATAGATGCTAGATAGATGCTAGATAGATGCTAGATAGATGCTAGATAGATGCTAGATAGATGCTAGCTAGATAGATAGATAGCTAGCTAGATAGATAGATAGGTAGATAGATAGATAGATAGATAGGTAATTAGATGAGAGAGAGAGAGATAGATAGATAGGTAGATAGATAGATTGCTAGATAGATTGCTTGATAGATAGATAGATGGATAGATAGATAGATAGATAGATTGCTTGATAGATAGATAGATTGCTTGATAGATTGCTTGATAGATAGGTAATTAGATGAGAGATAGATCGATAGATAGATAGATCGATAGATAGATAGATACATAGATAGATAGGTAACTGATAGGTAGGTAGGTAGGTAGGTAGGTAGGTAGATAGTCAGAGAAAGAGAGAGAAAGAGAGAGAAAAAAAGAGAGAAAGAGAGAGAAAGAGAGAGAAAGAGAGGAGACCTCAACCACCTTTCGGTCCATCAGTGGATTTGCTCTGCCATCCGTGATTCACAACAACCAACCTCTCCTATAGGTTTCCTATTTTTGAAACTTCCGCCACCGCCTTGTGCGGTACTACTGGTAAACATTGGTAAACGATATATGACATAAGTCCATTCAAAGTGAGTGAAGCAAGCTCCTGTGTCTCTTGTATATAAGTGAAACCTATATTGGCTGCTGATGGTTCACAAAAGGCGCGAGTTTTGTGGCAGCGGTTCAGTCTGCCTTTACACTGGGATACCCTTGGTGTCTCAGCTTCATGACTCGCTGACAGTCGCAATGGATCAATGGGTGAGATACTTTGACACAATGAAAACATGGTACCCTCTGGTAATTTAACATAGCTATTGAAAATGGTCATTTATAGTGAGATTAGTGAGTTTTCCCATTAAAAATGGTGATTTTCAAAAGTTATGTTAGTTTACCAGAGGGTATCATATTATTGTTGGTTGTATTTATCCATTTATATCCTATTTATATTCCCTTACAGCATTATTGACATGGTATATTAATGTATATTATAGTACGAATTTTTAGTGGTCAACATCGGCATCAAAACCTGCCATAACTTGCCATGATCGGATTGTTCACAGCAGCGATGAAGCTGCATCAGAGATATGTATCATGGAGGGCAAAAGAGCCGAGAAACATCATAAATGCTCCTTAGTGATCTCTGGAAATGCATGGACATGCTACATGTTCATGCATGTTCAACATCTACTGAACAGGCTATGTAAGTCCTCAGCCCTGGTTCGTTCCATGGACATGCTTCTTGACTTTGGGTTCTTCTTCGAAGAATATGCCCTAGAGAATTCACAGGAGAACCCTAAAAACATCCATGAACAAGCTCTAGAATCTAGAAGGTGATTTTGTCCTTGTTTCTCTCCATTTGGGGTCAAAGCCGAACTTCAGTTTCATAGCTGTTGACTATCTCGGCGGACAATTCAGGGAATCCTGGGGTCCTTACAAGCATCCACAACAGGTCTTCGGAAGCAATTGAATGCAATGCATTATCAACCATCAGATCTTGCTTTTGAACATCCTGGCTGAACCCACTGGTGAAACTTGTCACAACTCATGAGCCATTTCCGGAGGTGTCAGGATCGTCAGAAGACTCGTCAGAGGTAAGGTATGTGGCTGGGTTTGATCGTACACACAGCGCCAGCGCAGTCCATGTATTGCTGCCCCTACTGAAGAAAATCTGAAGGATCTTGAGACCAAATGGAAGTTTTGAGGTGCCTCTAATTCCCAGGAGTGCAAACGAGAGCATGGACAGCAAACAGGTGTCCCCAATGAGAAGCCAAATATTCCACACAGCTGAAATAGTCAGATGAAGCGATAAGAAGAAAGCGACCAGAATCAGCCACCCAAGCATTGCCACAAAAAGAAATTTGTTCATGACCTTCAAAATGAAGCGTTGCTCGTCCCAATCACTTCGACAAAGCAGAAACAATAGACCAAGCCTTGAGAGGACAGACACACCTGCGAGACCTGCACGATACCAGAGACGCTCATTGTAAAAGAAACTGACAACAGTCATGGTCAGGGCATTTGTGGCAAATGGGACGAACAAAAAGATTGCTCCTGTAATCTCTGGAAATGCTGCATGTTGGATATCCACTGAACGGGCTATGTCCCTCAGTGCTGGGGTTGACATTCCTGCTGCCATCAGGACGTGAATTGCATGGTCCACTTTATCGACCTGGTCGCCAATTTCTCTGCGAATGCTGACAGCGTCTGCTTCTTGCGAACATTTTGCATACTGAATGGACCCTTCGTACCTGCTTTGTTGCGGAACTATTCCAAAACCATGAGAGTGGCATAGAGTAATAAAGCCAGTTGGAAAACCAACATCCTAGTCATCCAATCCAATCAATGTTTATATCATGGCAACCATCAACATCTACCATCTGGTTATGACTAACATAGCCATGGAAAATTGCCCATTTATAGAAGGTTTACCTGGTAAAAATGGTGATTTTCCATAGCTATGTTAAATAACCAGATGGTATATCAACATCTTTAACGTATCTACTGTATAACTTTTTGGTTTACACTCTCCTCTTGCGTCAGCTGCCACTTCTTAAATGGATCAAATCTGCGTTTCTGTGGGTTCATTGATTCAACCAACCCTCCAATCCAAACCTTCAAACAAATGCAAAATAGAAGGTGCAAAATAGAAAATGCTTCCTCCAAACCACAATCCAGATACCCTCTGGTAATTTAACATAGCTATTGAAAATGGCCATAGAAATAGTGGATTTTCCCATTAATAGCATGGTGATTTTCAATAGCTATGTTAGTTTACCAGAGGGTATATCCAGATATATCCAGATACCCCTGTCGAAGCTCCTCTGCTTCCGAGACCGTGGAAATCCCGTTGATCCGATCGACCTCCATGACGCAAAACGCCACCGAAGCCAGCAGCCAATAGCAGCGATGCACCAGGCGCAAGACTGTACGAGGAATACCTTCATCCCTATAGTAACCTGGTTGGTTATAATGGTTAATAGTGGTTAATACTGGGATATGAATGATATATACCATATAAAACCCTATCTGGTTGGTGGTGCAATTTCACCATCTTAAAAAATATGAGAAATCGTCAATGGGAAGGATGACATCCCATATATGAAATGGAAAATAAGAAATGTTCCAAACCACCAACCAGTAACTTTCCATAAACTCACCGAAAACACCACCAAAATTGTGTGCCACACAGATCCAGCAGAGCACCACGCCTACAAAATGCATGATCCTTCGAAGCATGTCATTGTCGATCAGCAGGCTGAAACCAACCACCAGAATGGTGAGCGCTGGAACTGCGAAGGTCTCATGGGCCTCCAGGCGTGTGAACAGAATCCCAAGAGCCAGACCAACGATTGCGGCTAAAGCCAGCCTTGTTGCATGGTGAACCCCACCTGAGGAAAAATACTGGGGATCCCCTTGTTGGAAATAGAATAGAAATGAATAGAAGCACCTGCCAGATACAAGGCTCTGAAATGATATGTTTGAAACCTCTAGTCTAAGCAGCAGCAAGCAGCCAAATCAAAGCCCTCAAGACCTGAGAAAGATTGGAGGAATGCGCTATCAGAATCGTCTTGCCATCTTCTTGGGAGAGATAAGCTTCATAACTGCACCAAAGCCTCGTGTACACACTCTGGTGCCGGTTTGGTACCACCAACATCACTTTGGAAGCTGCCAATGCAACTGCAAAGGGCGAAGTCTCTGGCGACTGCAGAAACGATGAGATGTCCAAATTCTGGGGGTTGGCCAACATGCAGCACCAAGCAGTTTGCAAGGTCCTTGGCCAACTGTGCCTCACTTTTTTCAGAAACTCAAAGACACCTTCCTGCCAGGCATGGCTGATGAACAGCTCACACTCCAAGCCATCTGGATGTCGCATCAATGCCCAACTCATCTTCCCTGCCTGTCGGGTCACTGGTTTGATATACTGTTCATTCACCGTGTAGATGCTAGGCCCATAGGCCTCCGACGCATCATCCTCGGGGCCAGGCCGAATCTGACCGTGGCGCAGGGCAGAGCGGATCTCCTGGCGCAGAAAACGCAGATCTCGATGCGTGACGCACCATCGATCGGCTGGAACCAATCGATGCAGGTCGTAGGCTAAGGTGGTGCCTCTGGTGACTCCACGAGTAGAAGGAGACAACATGGCCCTCCTTGAGATGCAAATGTGGTGTATGTATGTATATGTATGTGTATGTATATGTATGTGTATGTATGTGTATGTATGGGTATGTATCTGTAGGTGACCTACCAGTACATCAATGAAAGCAAATCGAAGTTATCATGGCACCAACATCTCTCTGTGCCACACTGCCAGCAACAACTGCTGAATCTGTGCATCCGGAATCTGACAAAGCACAAGAATGGGGGTGACTGAGAAAGGCCACATTCAAATCATCCAAGAAGCAAAATAGTAGTGCATAAAAGCAAATCTATACACAAAATCATGTCTATAAATGAAACAGTGTCAAGAAGCTGAGAGAATCTCTCAACTTAAACATCAAATTAGTGCAGCGTGAGGCTGACAGTGGAGCATCTTGAAATCCAAAGGATCATAAATGGCAATATACCGGGTGCACCGGACATGCTGGGTACACCCCATTGTTGGACAAAACCGACATTCTTCTGGGATTTGGGGGGAGCACACCCCTGGAGCAGCTGTCCGGGCTTACTCTGCCCCTTTCTTGTTACATCTTTAGTTTGGTTGGAAAAGGAAAGCACATTCAAACTTCATCTGCCAGCGCTACTAAGATCCACTCAGGTCAATCCGGACTCTTTCTCCAAGTCACGATCTAAAGTCTCTGTGTTTCATTTTTTACTGTCGTGACAAGGATCGGCAACCGTGAAACTTCCCCCATCCCATCCCATCGCCTTCTCTAAGCACAGTCCGTTGGCTGGCAAACCTTCGGGAATCCCGACGATCAAGTCAGTGGGATCCCAATGGACTCAAGGCTGGACTCAAGGCTGGACGTGAAATGGGGGACCCAATCATGGTAAATTTGATTTCTATCTTCAGGATGATGCTGAGATAATATGCAGACATAGAATATGCATAGAATCTGCTTACACACACCATCCTTTTGGGGATGAGAAATTTCGGATCGCCAATTTCCCCATAGAGGACTTCGGATAGCCATTTCACCGCTGCTTCAAAAACACTGATCTCCGCCCAGTCACAGGGGAAGTCGCGGCAGCGCGTTCCCCCCTGGCGGAACGTCGCAGATGGCTCTGAATCTTGGGATCAAAGTATCAAAAGTTACCCTCTGGTTATGTCAAAATAGCTATGGATTTTCCCATTAAAACTGGTGATTTTCCATAGTTATGTTAAATTACCAGAGGGTATTCAAATGTTCTCAACTATGAAGGAGACTGGACTGAAGAGTGCTTCAAGCTGCTCAGATTGGACTTCAATGGACAAAAAGGGGTGAAACCACCTTCAACATCTCATCGATCTGCTCAGAGGATATCCTTCCGCATGCTGCTGAAACCTCGGGCGCATTGCAATTGTACGCTCTGCACACAAAGCAAGTTTGATATAATATATATATATATTATGTATATGTATATATTATAATATATAGTGACGGACAATCACTTAGAACGTAATTTTTTTTCCATTTTTTTTTTCGTACTTAGAACGTAGCAAAATTTCATCACTTAGAACGTAGGGAAAATTCATCACTTAGAACGTCAAAATATCACTTAGGCCCATTTATCACTTAGAACGTAAACCAACACTTAGAAAGTGCTAAGTGATTGTCCGTCGCTATATAAACTATTTTTTCGATTTCAAAATCAATTAAATTTCCTTATATAGCGCAATTAAACATATTGCCAAAAATTGGATTTCGAAGCGGACCCTAATAATAAATTTAGACCCTTAATAAAGCGGCTATTTTTTTCGACTTCAAAATCAATTAAATTTCCTTATATAACGCAATTAAAATATTGCCAAAAATTGGATTTCGAAGCGAATCCTAATAATAAATTAAAACCCTTAATAAAAAGACTAGTTTTTTCGATTCAAAATCAATTAAATTTCCTTTTATAACGCAATAAGACTATTGCCAAACACTAGAGTTCGAAGCGGACCCTAATAAATTTAAACCCTTAATAAAACAAAACTATTTTTTCGATTCAAAACCAATTAAATTTCCTTATATAGCGCAATTGAAATATTGCCACAAATTGGATTTCGATGCGGACCTAAATAATAAATTTAAACCCTTAATAAGAAAAACCGTTTTTTTCGATTTCAAAATCAGGTAAATTTCCTTATAACACAATTAAAATATTGCCAAAAATTGGATTTCGAAGCGGATCCTAATAATAAATTTAAACCCTTAATAAAAAGACTAGTTTTTTCGCTTTCGAAATCAATTTAATTTCCTTTTATAACGCAATTAAAATATTGCAGAAAATTGGAATTCGAAGTGGAATCGAAATTATGTCTAGGTTTCCTATACGGAATTAGCTGCTGAATCCAACACTTAGAACGTCAGAACCCCTAAAAAGCACCAAAAGGTATAATGTTCCAGAGATAAAAGATCACCAATATTTGCAAATCATATGGGAGGGAAAAGCCAAATGGTACGAAATTATGTCTATGTTTCCTCGGAATTAGCTGCTGAATCCAACACTTAGAACGTCAGAACCACCAAAAAGCACCAAAAGGATCCAAAAGGTAGAGTGTTCCAGAGATAAAAGATCGCCAATGTCAAATCATATGGGAGGGAAAAGCCAAATGGTACGAAATTATGTCTATGTTTCCTACGGAATTAGCTGCTGAATCCAACACTTAGAACGACAGAACCCCCAAAAAGCACCAAAAGGATCCAAAAGGTAGAGTGTTCCAGAGATAAAAGATCGCCAATGTTTGCAAATCATATAGGAGGGAAAAGCCAAATGGTACGAAATTATGTCTGTGTTTCCTACGGAATTAGCTGCTGAATCCAACACTTAGAACGTCAGAACCACCAAAAAGCACCAAAAGGTATAGTGTTCCAGAGATAAAGACCGCCAATATTTGCAAATCATATGGGAGGGAAAAGCCAAATGGTACGAAATTATGTCTATGTTTCCTACGGAATTAGCTGCTGAATCCAACACTTAGAACGTCAGAACCCCCAAAAAGCACCAAAAGGATCCAAAAGGTATAATGTTCCAGAGATAAAAGATCGCCAATATTTGCAAATCATATGGGAGGGAAAAGCCAAATGGTACGAAATTATGTCTATGTTTCCTACGGAATTAGCTGCTGAATCCAACACTTAGAACGTCAGAACCCCCAAAAAGCACCAAAAGGATCCAAAAGGTATAGTGTTCCAGAGATAAAAGATCGCCAAGATTTGCAAATCATATGGGAGGGAAAAGCCAAATGGTACGAAATTATGTCTATGTTTCCTACGGAATTAGCTGCTGAATCCAACACTTAGAACGTCAGAACCCCCAAAAAGCACCAAAAGGTATAGTGTTCCAGAGATAAAAGATCGCCAATATTTGCACATCATATGGGAGGGAAAAGCCAAATGGTACGAAATTATGTCTATGTTTCTTACGGCTTAGAATGTCAGACCCCCCAAAAAGCACCAAAAGGTATAGTGTTCCAGAGATAAAAGATCGCCAATATTTGCAAATCATATGGGAGGGAAAAGCCAAATGGTACGAAATTATGTCTATGTTTCCTACGGAATTAGCTGCTGAATCCAACACTTAGAACGTCAGAACCCCCAAAAGCACCAAAAGGTATAGTGTTTCAGAGATAAAAGATCGCCAATGTTTGCAAATCATATGGGAGGGAAAAGCCAAATGGTACGAAATTATGTCTATGTTTCCTACGGAATTAGCTGCTGAATCCAACACTTAGAACGTCAGAACCACCAAAAAGCACCAAAAGGTATAGTGTTCAAGAGGTAAAGATCGCCAATTCAATATTTGCAAATCATATGGGAGGGAAAAGCCAAATGGTACGAAATTATGTCTATGTTTCCTACGGAATTAGCTGCTGAATCCAACACTTAGAACGTCAGAACCCCCAAAAAGACCAAAAGGATCCAAAAGGTAGAGTGTTCCAGAGATAAAAGATCGCCAATATTTGCAAATCATATGGGAGGGAAAAGCCAAATGGTACGAAATTATGTCTATGTTTCCTACGGAATTAGCTGCTGAATCCAACACTTAGAACGTCAGAACCCCCAAAAGCACCAAAAGGTATAGTGTTCCAGAGATAAAAGATCGCCAATATTTACAAATCATATAGGAGGGAAAAGCCAAATGGTACGAAATTATGTCTATGTTTCCTACGCAATTAGCTGCTGAATCCAACACTTAGAACGTCAGAACCCCCAAAAAGCACCAAAAGGATCCAAAAGGTATAGTGTTCCAGAGATAAAAGATCGCCAATGTCAAATCATATAGGAGGGAAAAGCTAAATGGTACGAAATTATGTCTATGTTTCCTACGGAATTAGCTGCTGGATCCACCACTTAGAACGTCAGAACCCCAAGAAGCACCAAAAGGTAGAGTGTTCCAAGAGCTAAAGACCGCCAAGATTGGCAAATCATATGGGAGGGAAAAGCCAAATGGTACGAAATTATGTCTATGTTTCCTACGGAATTAGCTGCTGAATCCAACACTTAGAACGTCAGAACCCCCAAAAAGCAACAAAAGGATCCAAAAGGTATAGTGTTCCAGAGATAAAAGATCGCCAATGTTTGCAAATCATATAGGAGGGAAAAGCCAAATGGTACGAAATTATGTCTATGTTTCCTACGGCATTAGCTGCTGAATCCAACACTTAGAACGTCAGAACCCCCAAAAAGCACCAAAAGGATCCAAAAGGTATAGTGTTCCAGAGATAAAAGATCGCCAATATTTGCAAATCATATAGGAGGGAAAAGCTAAATGGTACGAAATTATGTCTATGTTTCCTACGGAATTAGCTGCTGAATCCAACACTTAGAACGACAGAACCCCCAAAAAGCACCAAAAGGATCCAAAAGGTAGAGTGTTCCAGAGATAAAAGATCGCCAATGTTTGCAAATCATAAAGGAGGGAAAAGCCAAATGGTACGAAATTATGTCTGTGTTTCCTACGGAATTAGCTGCTGAATCCAACACTTAGAACGTCAGAACCACCAAAAAGCACCAAAAGGTATAGTGTTCCAGAGGTAAAGACCGCCAAGATTTGCAAATCATATGGGAGGGAAAAGCCAAATGGGACGAAATTATGTCTATGTTTCCTACGGAATTAGCTGCTGAATCCAACACTTATCCAACACTTAGAACGTCAGAACCCCCAAAAAGCACCAAAAGGTATAATGTTCCAGAGATAAAAGATCGCCAATATTTGCAAATCATATGGGAGGGGAAAGCCAAATGGTACGAAGTTATGTCTATGTTTCCTACGGAATTAGCTGCTGAATCCAACACTTAGAACGTCAGAACCCCCAAAAAGCACCAAAAGGTATAGTGTTCCAGAGATAAAAGATCGCCAAGATTTGCAAATCATATGGGAGGGAAAAGCCAAATGGTACGAAATTATGTCTATGTTTCCTACGGAATTAACTGCTGAATCCAACACTTAGAACGTCAGAACCCCCAAAAAGCACCAAAAGGATCCAAAAGGTATAGTGTTCCAGAGATAAAAGATCGCCAATATTTGCACATCATATGGGAGGGAAAAGCCAAATGGTACGAAATTATGTCTATGTTTCTTACGGCTTAGAATGTCAGACCCCCCAAAAAGCACCAAAAGGTATAGTGTTCCAGGGATAAAAGATCGCCAATATTTGCAAATCATATGGGAGGTTTTTCTTTTTTCTTTTTTTTTGAAAAGCCAAATGGTACGAAATTATGTCTATGTTTCCTAAGGAATTAGCTGCTGAATCCAACACTTAGAACGTCAGAACCCCCAAAAAGCACCAAAATGCATAGTGTTCAAGAGATAAAGAACGCCAATATTTGCAAAACATATGGGAGGGAAAAGCCAAATGGTACGAAATTATGTCTATGTTTCCTACGGAATTAGCTGCTGAATCCAACACTTAGAACGTCAGAACCCCCAAAAAGAACCAAAAGGATCCAAAAGGTAGAGTGTTCCAGAGATAAAAGATCGCCAATATTTGCAAATCATATGGGAGGGAAAAGCCAAATGGTACGAAATTATGTCTATGTTTCCTCGGAATTAGCTGCTGAATCCAACACTTAGAACGTCAGAACCCCAAAAAGCACCAAAAGGATCCAAAAGGTATAGTGTTCCAGAGATAAAAGATCGCCAATGTCAAATCATATAGGAGGGAAAAGCTAAATGGTACGAAATTGTCTATGTTTCCTACGGAATTAGCTGCTGAATCCAACACTTAGAACGTCAGAACCCCCAAAAGCACCAAAAGGTATAGTGTTTCAGAGATAAAAGATCGCCAATGTTTGCAAATCATATAGGAGGGAAAAGCCAAATGGTACGAAATTATGCTATGGTTCCACGGAAT